TTTCAGTAGATAGACATGGCATCAGGAGAGTATGGTGAAAGGTGGCTATAGTTCAGAATCAGGAAGGAGTAAGGAAAGATGGAGGTTCCAGCAGAAAATCTGCCAGTGATGAGACAATGTCTCATGTTGATTCAGGCAGGGTCTGAGCATTTTAAGAGGTCAGGAAGCATAGTCCTAGCTACTGGGATTCAGGAGGGGGACATCCCATCTCTAGTGGGAGTGGAGATAGGTAGCAGGGGCATGGGATAGATAGCAAGTGCCCCAGATACTAAAACTGGAGTGCACATGGGTGACTATGGGAGAGGATCAAGGCAGTGATCCAAATACGAGTTCACATCACTGTGGGAGGATTGGCTACGTATACTAAGTTCTGAGTCTTTTGAGAATCTAGACTAAGGCCCCTGAAATTCTACTTGACTAAGTCCTAAATTGGTCCTAGGAATGGTGTGGTGTTGATCCCAAAGGTGGAATTTGAGTGGCTTCAGTTGTGAAAAGAAGAGGAATGTTGGGCTTGGAAGCCAGGAGGAGCATTTCTCATTTGTTCACTTATTCACCCAACATTGACTACATGAAAGGCATTCTTATGTTATTGCTACAGTCCATGGTAATGCTGTCTACTTGTGGAATGAGTAGATAGTATGCCTACACACGCTTGAACACACACACTCATTCACACACGCATGTGCTCATGTGCACATGCATGGGTGGTTGCACAGGAGGAATGGCAGGCATTGGCTAAATGCCAGCTGGGAAACCCACGGTCCTGAGCCTCAGGCACTGGGAGCCCCATGGATCAGTTCACAAGCTAGCCGCTAACATCAAAGAGTGTCGGGATTGTTCCAGAACTGGGACAGAGGGTAGCTGTGACCCTGAGGTCTTGTGACACCAGAGAATAAGTTGATGCATTTCCTTGGGATTGAAAAAAATTCTAGATGGTATTTGAACAGCTGAGCCTAAGGACACAATGAATTGACCAAAGAGGGAAAGGGACCGATAAAAAAAATTAAATAGTTCTTGATTTAGGTAGCATCACTAGGGGGGGTATGTTTTTTGTTTTTTTTTTTTCCAGTAGGAAAAGTGATTAGCAGCTTCTTTTTAGCATCTAAGAACAAAAAGACAGCCAGTCTCTCGAACTTGAACTTGCTTATTATAAGCCCTTATCATAAACCATCGCTCTCTGTGTATTGATTTCTAGCCAACGATTAACCAGATGTGACCTTAGAGCCTTGATAATAGCTGGGGAACTCACTCAACAGAGGGAAGCCTGCTAATTTATGAACAAAGCAGGTATTTACAGACCCCCTCAGCTTTGGGTGAGTACTTTTCCATCCAGGTGGCGTAAGAAGTCACAAACACAGAGCTCTGATGGGTCCTTGAATGTGAGCTTGTGCTGACCATCTGGAAGGATGAAGTGGTCTAGACCTGACTGGAAATGATTTGATGCAAAAATCATGAAACCAGCCACCTGCTGTGGAGCGTTGAAATTCAGTGCCTATGTCCCCACATAATAGGATTACTACTAATAATACCACTCACTCTTGTATACATTACGCTTTACAAAATATTTTATAGCCATTATCATGGCGATATCTTTCTGTATGATTCCATTTATATAAAGTTCAAAAATAAATTCAAGTAAACTATAGTGTTTAGAGATGCATACTTAGGTGGTAAAACCATACAGCAAATCAAGGAAATGATCACAATAAAATCAGGGGAGCAGTGACTCGAGAGGGAGAAAACAGGTGTGATAGGTGAGGTGTGATAGGGAAGGTGTGATAGGGAAGGCACACGTGTAGTCCTTCTGGGTGTTGGTCATTTCTTCCCGTGAGTGGAACTTGCTTAGGGATTCACTTAGCAATAATTTGTTAAACTATATACTTATGACCTCTGCACTTTGTGCACTAGTGAATGTTTTATTTTACACACATCTAACAAACAAAAAGTCAAGAAAGAAAAGAAGTCAGTTCCTTCCTTTGTGTCATTTGAACCATAATTGGTTGTTAGTTATTGAGAGTCTAGGTGAGAGATGGCTAAAGCTATGCAATATATAGGGTGGGACTGCCTTGGGAGTACTGTACATAAATTGACCATATTCCTTATTTAGAAAAATCTCTCCACCCCCACACTATATCTATACGCACATACATGTAGTTCCAGTCTGAGAGTCCCATGGAAGGACTAAGAGGCTTCCTCAAGGTCACCAGATAATGTTAGAGTTAGAATTGCATCTTAGGGTTTCTACATCTGATGCTCCACGTCTAATGCTCTCGGGTGAGGATAATATTCCACTTCCAGCCTAACAAATTCCCCACATCTGTTTATTTCAGATGGAATGGATTTGGGTATCTTGGTTAATTGTGGAATTGTCTGCTGGTTTTCAAACTTGTTTTAAAAGATGGAGACTGTTTGGCTCTGTGCTAGTTTGACATGTCAAAGAGAGGTTCACTTGGTGCTGAGTTAAGCCAGTAGGAAAGACGTGCCTGATTTTCTAGTAACAACAGCATCTTGAAAAATTAGACTCTCTTTTACATATGAGATTCAATCTCATTATGGTATTTTTTGTACACCAAATGTATTATGTGTTCACTGTAAAACGTTTAGAAAAATTCAAGAGAGATAAAGGGAAATAATAACCACCCATACTCCCAACTTGCGGACATAAGCATTGTTAAACTTTGGTATGTATTTTGCTATGTTTGTTTAAAAAGTGTTTGCAAAACTGATATCCTAAAAATATGGTTTTGAAATTTGTATTAAAAAAAATCTTAACAGTGTATTGTGATTCTGTCTTCATATTAATAGTTCTCCTATAAAACAATTTTTAAGGCCCGTGTGATATAATGTGTTTAAGTGAATATATCATGTTTCTTAAAAAGCCAGTTTCCTTTTGTTGGCTATTTGGGTTTTTTTTCAATTACTGCTATTGTAAATAATGTTGCAATAAGCATCTTTGTAAATAAATCTTTGCACAGGCCCAGTATTATTTCCTTAGAATAAATTCCTAGAAATGAAATCACTGGGTCTGGGTCAAAGGGTATGCACACTTTAAAGGCTTTTGTTATGTTTGTCAAATTGCCTTTCAGAAAGATTGTCTCAATTTATGCTCCCACAGGAGTGTATAAAAGTATTTTCCTCAGCCATGCCAATGTTAGATATTCTCATTTAAAATGTAAAAAAAAAAAAAAGATTTTGTTTACTATAAGGTTCCAGGTTTTTTTCATATGTTTTTTTTAACCCTCATGCTGCTTTAATTCCTTTTGATCTTCAAGTAAAAATTGTGTGCTATCTCTTCTATAAGAGTCCTGATGATCAAACATAAATTACAGGACGAAGAAACCTCATGTGTATGTACGCATTTAAAACTTTCCACTTAAACCATGGAGGGAATCCATTATTAACAAAAAGGAGAATAGATTTTTGTCTGTGTTAACACTACGGCTCTCAACTGAGTCGCTTATTTACCTAACTAATGCCCCATTAGGTGTTCCAAGCACATTCACATATTGTTAAAATGCCTAACGATCATTCATAGAAATGAAAAGTCAAACAAGCCCAGTGTACCAATTTGCCAAATCCAACAAGCTCCTTGGCAATGTGCTTACAAGACCCTACGGGAGACAACAGCCATGAGTAGGTTAGACAGCCCATTAGCTTATGAAAAGAGCTGTCCATACCATCGTAATCTATCTGCCTGCATTTCACTGACATTTTTTTCCTGAGCTTATGGTGATAGAAAGCTATTTCCCACATTCCTACTCAGGCACTCAGTGGAACGATGGACAGGTTAAGTCCCAATAAAACAAATATTGCTACGATCCAAATCTTTCTATAACTGAAAGAATGTTAGGCCCCAAGTGGAATTCCATTCATTTCAAATATTTTTTTGATGTCATAAAATCCTAACACAACAAAATAATTGGGACAATGCTTGGGCCTACATTCTATTGGGATTTGACTTATTAGTGATAGTTTGATTAACATGGCTTCTGGAAAGAAATCTCCTTTGATTAAAACAGCAGCCTGGGGGAGAGCAGCTTGGGAGAAGTATGGACTTGTTCTTAGTTATTGCAGAGCTCTAGAGGGTAGAACCGAGGTCAGTGGGTGGAAGTAACAGAGTCTGATTATAGATAATCTTAAGGAATAAATTTCTAACAGTCAGGGTTGTGCCAAGAACAGCTGCCTTGTGAGTTAGGAAATGCCCTTTTACCTCTCAGGGTCCAAGCTCCCACTGGAGGAATAGTCAGGAATGCCAAGGAGGCGTTTCTTTTATGGTGGGGCGCAGGGTCTGTGTTTTCAGAGCAAGTCACGTGGACATAGTTGGGGTGGGTTGTTCTACCAATGGTTGTTTCTTCATAACAAGAAACAGGAGAAATTCCAAGCTAATATTTTTCAAATGGCTTATTCTCTATTTTGTTTTTGAATAGTATGCTAGTCAAATACAAATTGCCAAGGTGGAGGCCATCATTGTCTGAGTTAGGCCATAGTGCCATGTTAGATTATTCCCCCCAGATCTCAAAGGCATCAGAGCCTTTCTTTCTTTCTTTCTCACAGAAGCTTCACTGAAGCCCAGATGGTTCTCCAAGTCTGCTCCCTTTCAGTCAGTGCTCCACTTTAATTTTGTGCCTCCCTTGTCTCAAGAGGTGACGTCCAGGGCCTCCGTGGCGAGGGAAGACAAAGCCTGGAAGGCTCACAGAAACTCCTCTATGCCTTCACTTAGGCCACTTCTATTTACTACTGTCCATTGGTCAGAGTTACATAGTTACCCAGCCCATCTGGGCTGCAAAAGTGTCCTCTCGTGTCCCCAGGAAAAGATAAGTCCTTGTGAACCCATTGCACTATTTTTTGCCAAGGTGCCATAGATTTTCTTTACTTTTATATTTTACCTTGAAGGAAACATATTTTATTCACCCTATGGTAGAACAAACTGAAGCATGACCTCTACCTTTCCACACAGACAACTGATTTTATGTAGCTTTAGCAGTTAACTCGCTCCATTGTTGCAAAAAGTTTATCCTGTCTGAGAAGTTGGGGGTGTGTATTCTCCATGTACATCCATACCCTGGCTCCTGATGCTGTATTTATTTGGAGTAAAGTTACCAAAAATGGTTTCTGAGCCTCTTGTAGAATTCTCACATTTTTCTGACTTTCAGCTCTGGATCCCTCTGTGCTGGGTCTCCTGAACACTCACTGTTGAGGAAAAGGAATATGTTAGTTTGTTAGGGTCGTCTTAACAAGGCACCACAAACTGGGGGGTGGGGGGAGCTTAAACAACAGAAGCTTATTGTCTCACTGCTCTGAAGGTTGGGAGTCTGAGATCAGAGTGTTCCTTCTGAGGCTGTGAGGGAGAATCTGTTCTGTGCCTCTCTCCTAGCCCCTGGCAATTTGCTGGCAATCTTTGGCATTCCTTGGCTTGAAAAAGCATCTTCCTGCTCTCTGCCCTCATCTTGACATGGCATTCTGCCTGTGTGTGTGTCTCTCTCTCCATGTCCAAATTTCTCCTTTTATAAGGACACCCATAATACTGGTTGTGGACCACCCTAATGACCTAACTTCAACTTGATGACCTCTGTCAAGACCCTATCTCCAAATAAGGTCACATTTTGAGGCAAGAGACCTGAGTTTCGACCCACTTCCCTTTTTTGAGCCTCTGTACTTTGATCTTTTAGAAGAGGGGGTTGGGCTGGTGAACTTTGAGGTTCTAACCTGCTCTGAGACTCTGTTATACTGTTGGTGACACTGTAAGGTGTAAAGGCATCATCTTAAAAGAACCCATGCCTAGAAGGGTCTATGTGGCTTTCTGGGTCCCTAATCTACTATGGCATGGCTTAGGTGCAAGGAAGAGAGACCACACATTGTGGTTTACGTGCTGAGGGTCTTATTTTGGCAGGCAGGTGTGAATGCAGGCTCTCTTCTCTTTGACACACATATACGTATATGCACACAGCTTTGTTGTTGGATAGGGGAGGGAGATATTTTTAATAGCAGAGTCTTTTATCCCTTCTTTTTTTTTTCCTGGAAAAAGATGAAATCATCCATTTATTCTGGACCAATTACAAGCACTAGAAAGCACAGGAGGAACAGAGAGCCTGATCACAAATAAATATACACTGGGGGAGGGGGGAACAGAGGAAACTGTTATTGATTGGCCTTGTAAAATCTGCTGCTGAATCGATAGCAATTTCTGGAAATGCCAGACATTTATTTTGTGTGGCTTGAACAGCGGAGATAATAATAAACGTACTTATGAAGTGAGTCTCTTGACACCATTTCCTTGAGCCCCTTATAATAACACACATACATAATGGGTACAATAGCTCTACAAGCCATAGGAAACAGACTTCAGACTTACGGCCCCGTTGCCCACTACTAACCTCCCCTCTGTGCCGGACATAGCATTCAAATAAGTCTCTTAAAAAAGCACAGACGACTGAGCTTCATGAAGAGATGGGAGAGATGGCCTCATCAGCTGTGGAAAGGCAGGCCAGGGCTTGTTCTGAGGCTCAGGGAAGAAAACCAGACACTGAAACTGCTGGACCCTGCCTGGCCATTAGGAATTTCTGGACCTGCCCTCTCACCTGTGCTATCTCTGAGCTCTGTTCATCGTTTCTTTCTAACAATGGGCAGCTTACCTTGGGTGCATGTTCCCTCATCCCAATCCATCATCTGTAGTCAGTCCCTTCTCCCTACTCCATGTCAAGGGCATTTGATAACCTTGTCAGGGCCATTACATCTGGGAGAAGGCTCAGGCGTGTTACAGGAATCAGGAAGTTGCTTAGTGTGCTTTAGCGTGGTCAAAAACTACCATTTACCGAGTACCTATTACGTGCTAGGTACTTCACACTCATGGCCTCATTTATTTCTCACCACAACCTTTTGAGTTACTATTATTCTTTTAACAATTTTTTTTTTTGGTAAGAAACTGGGGCTCATCAAGTTTAAATAAATTACTTCAGCTCATGAAGCTATTATAAAACCGCTAGATTTGAACTCAGATCTGACTCTAGATTCTGTATTCTTTCCATTCTGCTTTTGCCTGCTTCATGTGAGCTGGGATGCTGGGAGATGGAATGATAATATTTGGAGGGCCTTGAATGCCTGGTGAAGGCATGTCACATTATTCCTGTGCATTAGGGATTGTATGAAGGTTTCTTGGAAAATATAAATAGTACAATCAGAGCTAAGTTTTAGGGAGGTCCTATTCAGGACAGATTGATGCAGGGAAACAGGCTAAGAGATCATATGAAAGGATACAAGAGCAGACGTGATAAGGAGGACTAGGAGAGGGGCAATAGGATGGCCAAGAGATGGATCTTGACAGTCACAAGAGTGGAAAATGTTTCCCCTTCTCTCCACTTTGTCTCATCCCTGCCTCTGCCTCCCTTCCCAGCCACTTCACCTGTTCCTATTTTGGGATGGTAGGAGGTTTCCCTGGAGAATATTCATTCCCAGCCTGGGCCTCTTGATGCAAAGTCACTCTCAATGATACCGTTGGATACAGATGCCTGCTGAGCTGGTAATAGATGGAGATCATTTTTCCATCTCATTTCCTTAATACATCTCCATTTAGTATGGTGCTGTAAAGGAGAATTTGAACTACTAATTTGGATGGCAGGAGAAGGTGTTCTTTTTGTAAATTGGTAGATTTGCGGATCTCTGGCTATGTCCCGTCTCTTCATAATGAACCTGTAGTTTTGTGAGACAGTCTTCATGACTCTGGAAAACACAGGATGTCTTTCCCTTGAGATTTGAACTGGTGTTGAGAGTGACTCTTTCCCTCCAAGTACTCAAGGACCTGGCTCTCTTCAGATGTTAAGTCAGTTCCTGTTTCAGAAAAATAGCTGGAAGGGGCACCTGACTAGCTCAGTCGGTAGAGCATGTGACTCTTGATCTAGGGGTTGTGAGTTCAAGCCCCCAAATAATAATAATAATAATAATAATAATAATAATAATAATAATAATAAAATGTTTAAATAAATAAATAAATAAAAACCTCAGAAAAATAGCCAGGAAAGAGCTCTCTGAAAACTTGAAAGTAAAAGAGACTTCTTGAGTGACTATCATGTGAGGACCCACATGAGTTAATTCTTCAGATGTCTTTTGTGCATGTATTTTGTGCCATACCCCATGATAGGGCCTATGGAGGAAGCCAAAAAGAATTGTACAGGGTTCCATCCTTCAAAGAGCTCACAGCCTATTAGGAGACATAAGTTCATGTTCACAAATAACATCTATACAAGACAGTCTCTGGTCCACACCACAAAACTGCCACAGATAATAGGGGCCAGGAAAGTTCAAAGGGAAATAGAAAGATAGGTTGTAGTTTTTTAGTGGCCCTTGAATAAGAATAGAAAAAAATGAAACTATGGGGTATTCTAGGTGTAGAGAATGACAATGGCAAAAGCAGCAATGAGAAAACACAGAGTGTGTGAGGCATCCCAGAGAAGAATCCAATTCGCTGAGATCCCAATTCATGGAGATCCACTGGGCCTCAGTGGAAGGGAGGGGTGGAAGATTGAGAAGGTGGATTAGAGGAAACTAAGTACCAGGCAGAGGCAACAACTCTACACACAAAAATCTGACAATTTAGATGAAATGGACCAATTCGTCAACAACTACCACAACTTAATATGATACAGATAACTTGATTAATTAATTAATAACTTGATTAACTATAATTAATAAGAAATTGCACTCATAATTTTAAAACTCTCAGAAAGGAAATAGCCAGTGTCAGATGGTTTCACTGAAGAGTTCTTCCAAACATTTAAAGAAGAGTTAACACCAATTCTACACATCTCCTAGAGAATAGAAGAGAAAAGAATAATCCCCAACTCATTTTATGAAGGTAACATTACCCTGATACCAAAATGACACAAACAGTGCCAATAATGACAACGACAGACTAATGGCTCTCCTGAATATAGAGGAAAAAATATTTATAAAAAAATACAAAATATGGGGCGCCTGGGTGGCTCAGTCATTAAGCGTCTGCCTTTGGCTCAGGTCATGATCCCAGGGTCCTGGGATCGAGTCTCACATCGGGCTCCCTGCTCAGCCGGAAGCCTGCTTCTCCCTCTCCCACTCCCCCTGCTTATGTTCTTTCTCTCGCTGTGTCTCTCTCTGTCAAATAAATAAATAAAATCTTTAAAAAAATACAAAACATGATATAGAATTCAACAATTATGAAAAAATTATATGCTATGATGAAGTAAGGCTTATTCCAGAAATACCAGACTGGCTCTAATATTAAAAAAGATAGATTAATGTTAATCCACCATATTCACTGTCTAAAGAAGAAAGAGCAAATGATCATCTCAGTCAATACAGAAAGAGCACATAACAAAATTCAATAATCATTCATGATAAAAACTTTCAGAAATCTATGATTAGAGGAAAATATCAACTTGATAAAGAGTATTTGCAAAACCCTACAACTACTATTATACTTAATGATGAAAGGCTGAATTCTTTGTCCCTTAGATCAAGACTGAGGCAAGAATGTTCACTCTCACCTCTTTTATTCATATTTTTGGAAGTTCCAGCAAATGCAAGGCATCAAGAAAAGGAAATGAAAGGAATAAAGTTCAGAAAGAAAAAAAATCATCCCTATTTATAGATGACATGATTAGCTACATAGAAAATTGCAAGGATGTGAAAACAAAACAAAACCACCCCTCTTAGAACTAATAAGTGAGTTCATCAGGGTTGCAGGATACAAAATAAACAAACAAAAATCAATTGTATTTTTCTATACTAGCAACAAACACACAGACATTGAAATTCAAAATATAACATCACTTACCATCACTCAAAAAACAAAATATTTATATGTAAATGTAATAAAACATGTATAGGACTTGTATGCTGAAAAGTATAAGATGCTGAAGAAAGACTCAAAGGAGATCTACATAAATGGAGAGACATACTATTTCTGTTCATTAATTAGAAGACTCAACATAGCTGTACTAGTTTTCTATTTCTTCTATAAAAAAAAAAATTACCACAGACCTAGTGGCTTAAAACAATGAAATTTATTTTCTTATAATTTTGGATTTCTGAAGTCTGAGATTGGGTCTTATGAGGCTAACATCAAAGTATGGTCAGGGTTGGTTCCTTCCAGAGGCTCTGGGGGAAGAATCTACTTCCTTACCTCTTCAGCTTCTAGAAGACATCGGCATTCCTTGGTTTATGGCTCCTTCCTCTACCTTCAAAGCCAGCAGCATAGTACCTTCTAAGCTCTTTCTGTCCCCTGCTTACATCATCACATGTCCCTTCCTCTGACTCGGATCCTTCTACCTCCTTTGTATAGGGACCTTGTGATTACATTGAGCCCATCTGGATAATTCAAAAGAACCTTCCCACCTCCAGGTCTTTAATCACATTGGCAAAGCCCTTTTTGTCATATAAAATAACATACTTACAGTTTCCAGGGTTTGGGATGTAGAAATCTTTGAGGGTACATTATTCTGTCTACCATACAAGTAAAGCCATCAATTTCCTCCAAACTGATGTACAGATTTATCACAATTCTTCTGAAAATTATAGTAAGATTTTTGGTATGTATCAACAAGATTATTCTAAAAATTTATATGGGAAGGTAAAGAAACTTGAATAGCTAAAACAATTTTGAAAAAGAAGTATCAAGTCAGAGGAATCTGTCCACCCCATTTCAAGACATATTATACAGCTATAGTAAGCAAGACTGTGTGGTATTTGCAAAGAGATGGACACACAGATCAATAGAACAGAATAGAGAGCCCAGAAATAGACTCACACAAATATGACCATCTGTTTTTTGACAAAGGTACAAAAACAATCCAATGGGGAAAAGATACGCTTTTCAACAAATGGTGCTTGAGTGATTAGACATCCACAGGCAAAAACAGACAAACAAACAAAAGCAAACAAAGGAACAGACCTCAACCTATGTCTCACATCTTATATGAAAATTAACTCAAAATAGACCATGGATTTAAATGTAAAACATGTAATGTCATTTGCAAATATCTTCTCCCATTCTGTGGATTGCCTCTTAGTTTTGTTGACTATTTCCTTTGCTGTGCAGAAGCTTTTTATCCCCAATGTTCGTAACAGCAATGTCCACAATAGCCAAACTGTGGGAGGAGGCGAGATGCCCTTCAACAGATGCATGGATAAAGAAGGTGTGGTACTTATATACAATGGGATATTAATCAGCCTTCAGAAAGGATGAATACCCACCATTTGCATCGACATGGATGGGACTGGAGGAGATTATGCTAAGTGAAATAAGTCAAGCAGAGAAAGACAATTATCATATGGTTTCACTCATATGTGGAACATAAGGAATAGCATGGAGGACATTAGGGGAAGGAAGGGAAAACTGAAGGAAGGGAAATCAGAGGGGGACATGAACCATGAGAGACTATGGACTCCAGGAAATAATCTGAGGGTTTCAGAGGGGAGTGGAGTGGGGGGATGGGGTAACCCGGTGATGGGTATTAAGGAGGGCATGTATTGCATGGAGCACTGGGTGTTATACGCAAACAATGAATCATGGAACACTGCATCAAAAACTAGTGATGTACCATACAGGGACTAACGTAACATAATAAAAAACAAAAACCAAAAAAACCAGAGAAAAATAAATGTAAAACATGAAACTATAACACCTTTAGGAAAAAAAATAGAAAATCTCCTGGATCTAGACCTAGTATCTAGAACTATATCTAGAACTAAGCAGAGTTCTTAGACTTGACACCAGAAGCATAATCCATAAAAGAAAAAAAAAAGGATAAATAAGACTTCATCACAATTAAAAAAAAAAACTTGCTCCATAAAAAGTCCTATTAAAAAGATGAAAAGACAAACTATTCACTGGGAAGACAATATTTGTCAGATATTGAAAAATACCTGTCAAAAAATTAATATTTAGAATATTTATATATATATAGGACTCTCAAAACTCAAAGGTTAAAAAACAATCTAATGTGAAATCAACAAGAGACTTGAAGAGACATTCTACCAAAGAGTATGTACAAATGGTATGTAAATGCATAGTGACATATTCGACAGCATTCGGGTTCAGGAAAATGAAAATTAAAAACCCATGAGATATCACTATACACCTATCAGAATGGCTGGGATAACAAAAAGTAATGACAACCTGAGGAGCTAGCAAGTACTCAGAGAAACTGGTTCACTCATAAATTGCTGGTGGGAATGTAAAGTGATACAGTCTTTCTGGAAAATAGTTTGGCAATGTCTTAAAAAATTTAAAAAAGTTAACATGTAACCCTGTACTTCCCAGCAACTACTCCTGAGCATTTGTTCCAGAGAAATGAAGATTTATGTTCACACAAAATCCTGTCCACAAGTATTTATAGCAAACTTGTTCATGAAAGCCCCAAGCTTGAAACAACTCAAGGTTCTTTCGATGGGTGAATAAACTGTGTTCTAGTCATACATGGACTAGTACTCAGTAATAAAAAGGAGCTAACTTGATACATACACAACCTGGATGAATCTCCTCATAAGAATTATCCTGATAGGAAAAAAACCAATGACAGGATTCCATTTATATTATGTTCTTGAATTGACAAGATTTTAGAAATGGCTAACGGAGTGGTGGTTGCCAAGGATTAAGGAGGAGATGGGAGAGGGAGTGAGGTGGGTTTGGCTATAAAGGGCAACATCAGAGATCCTTGGGGTAATGGAAATATTCTCTGTCTTGACTGGATAAATACCAATATATTAGTTATGATATTGTGCTATGGGTTTGCAAGATGTTAACATTGGACAAAGGGTACACAGGCTCTCTGTATTATGTCTTACAACTCCATATGAATCTACAAGTACCTCTAGATAAACATTTGATTAAAAATAAGCCAGAGGAGACTCAAACTAGGATGCCGAGAGTTTTGGAAGAAGGTGATGTAGAAAGGCATGAATGAGAGCAACAATTCAGGGAGCTGTTTTAGCTCTTTCCCCCCGCCCCTGATCATGATATGCCTGGGTTGACTGAGGTTGTTGGCATGTCTCTGAGTAATAGCATCACTCTAGTTTGTTCACTTACTTGATAAGCATGGGGAGGGACTTCTCCACCTAGTGTCCTTGGGTGACTTGAAGTATTGTCCTAGTCTGATCTGCTTCAGTGGCTTCTGGAGGGAAGTCAAGGAGACATTTATAAAAGACTTTGGGGGACTGAACTATGTCTCATTGGTCCCAGTGATAAAGTTTGGAGAAGTCACACCAAGAAATCTTCTAAAATTCTCCAGAGCAGTGGGGAGGTGGTAGTGGAGCATTATGGGCATGAGTTGCATATAAGCTTACCTACTAAGCCTACAGGACTAATCAAGAGAAAGGATAAAAAGTGAAAGAACGTTGGCTTCTAGAGTGAGGGTGAGGCCATTCTCTCCCCTCCTTCATGCCCCCCTCGACGGCCACATGTACACACCACCCTCAAGGATGAGCCAGGATCAAAAGCGAGTGTATGATGGAGTCCTGAGTTAGAAAGGGAGCTTTTGCAGGGCTGAGCTGATAGCTTGGATGGTCTGTCCCTGCTGCTTGGGAGGGGCCTCTACTTGGAAGCCTGGGGAGGAGAGGCTTAGGAGAGTTTGGTTCTGCTTTCAGCCTTTAGCCTGAGCAAGAGGAGGCCTGTTGAGTGTTAGCTGCCCAGCTCAATAAGAATCTAACTGAGATCTGGGGCCCAGGCCCAAGCTTGTGGTAATAATGTTGCTCTTCTGCCTGACCTTGCCACTGCCTGGCTCCCTCGGGTAGTGGCCATGGCAGTTGGCTTGTTTGTTTGGTTGGTTGGTTGGCTTGGTTTGGGTTTTGAGTAAATGATAGCCAATTCTCTCAGCCAGTTCCAAGTCTGAATAATGGCATGCAGGACTCTCCCCAGCCTCCACTCCCTGCTTCTTCCTCCTTCTCCCTCTCGCCTCAGGTTCGGCCACACTTGACTCCTCACTCTCCCCTGCACATGCCAAGGAGGAACCACCTCAGAGCCTTGGCATGTACTCTTTCTTTTGCAGGCTTCTCCACCCCACAGATCTGTCCACAGGGTCTGTTTGCTCACCCCTTCAGGTCTTAACTTAAATGTCACATTTTCAGGGAGATTGTTGCAGAACATCTTACATAAAATTGTGTCACCCCTACTTCCAACACTTGTTACCCTCTTCTCGGTTTTCTTTGTTCTTCAAAGCATATATGACTCTCCAACACTCTGTATTTTACTTTTATCTCATTCCATGTCTGAGTTCCTCAGTTCAATGTTAGCTTTATGAAAAGAGGGCTTTTTGACTGTTGTGTTCACTATGGAATGTGTCTAGAACAGAGCCTGGCAGAGAGTAGGCAGTATCAATAAATATTTGATAAATGAATGAGTGGAATGAGGGAGTGAATAAAATTCTTTTAGGTGTAAGGTAGAACATACACTATATATTTTTAATATTTTAAATTAAGTATACTATTAATTAACTTAATAATTATTAAGTATATTTTAAATATACTGTATTACTTACATTAAATAATATAAATTAATTATTTAAAAATATACTATAGTAAAAAATATATTGAATTGAGAATATATTTATATTTTAAATAAATACGCTGTGTGTGTTATCTGTTTATCTAAGTAATATATAATATTACAAGCTTTATTTGTTTTAAGTCTATGACCTTGAAAATAACCCTGGACTGGAGTTTGAAGGGTTGGTGTCAGTTCTGGCTTCTTCAAAGCAGATCTCATGGGAAGAAACATTTCATATCCCTGCCTTGGTATTTGTACTTGTGAAATAGGCGTAATATTCCCTGTGTGCCTCACAGGATTATTATGGGAATCGAATAAAATATTGGACAGGGATTTGTAAAAACTAAAAGGCAAATCACACACACACACACTCTAACCTCTGCGAGGATGAAGCGCTGTTATAGCAATGTTTAGTTATGAAACTAGAGAATTCAGCCTGTGCCCTTCCTTGTCCTAGTGATTCTAGAAACACAAACTATGACAGCAGAGTCGGGTGTTCTGTGGGCCTTAATTTTCCCGTGATCCTATGAGGTTGTCTGAGAGACTGACCTGAAACCCGAGTGTGATTTGGGAACTTCTCAGGAGTGTTTCGTGAGGGGAGAGGAGAGCAGAGCCCAGCGTGTCATGGAATATTCCTTCCTTTCTTCCATTCGCCCCAAGCCCTGTGCTGTTGCATTTCTTGCTGTGTATTATTGACAGAGGAAATGCTGATTCATGGTCTGAGTTACAGGAAACCTTGTTTCCTGGTGAAGAAACAAGCCGGGTGGTGCTGCCAGCCTGCTCGTCTGCCAGTTTCTGCCCCATGCCCTTCTCCTGGGCCTGCACCCAGAGCGACTGAGGAGGGGTAGGGCCAACTCGGGCTTAAGCAGTTAGGTCACTTTCCCTTGGAACGGCATCCAGCACAGCCTCCTCACTGGGCCTCTGGAGGCCCTTCTGGCTCTGACCCCACGATACCTTTCCATCCCATCTCCCACCACTCCCTCCTTGCACCCTGTGCTGCGGCCACACATGGCTACTCCCAGTTCTCTGTGAACACCTTGTATTTTCCAGACCCTGTGCCTTGGCTCGTGATGTGCCCTGCCTGGAATGGCCCCTGACCCAGTGTCGGCTCATTGAAATCCTACCCATGCTTCACCTTTGCTCAGGGCTACCTGCTATGTGAAGTCTGCTAGGTTGCCCTCTATTATTTTTGTTCTCTTTTTTAGTAGGGGGTATTTTCAAATATGCACAAAAATAGACAGAGCTGTTGGGCCAGTGTCCACATACCCACTTCCCAGCCTCAACAATGAACTGATTTCTCTTCATTTGCACTCGATCCCTCTGTCTCTGAGCTCCGCTAGGAACCCTTATGTTCTTTGCTTCACTCATATTTGCAGAATTGCGCGGGAAGAAAGTGAGCCAGTGGATTTAGAATGCTGTTTACCCACCTCCCATATTGGGGAAACTGAGGACCCAAGAAGTGAAGTGAGTTGCCCAATGTCATGAGACAGGTAGTGGCAAGCTGAGACCAGATTCTTCAGAAGGGCCTCACAGTCTAATTGGGAGGCGTGGATAATATACTCATAACAAGTACATGCTATTGGATCTCGAGTACTACACGGGTTCAGGTTAAGTGATTAATAAGTATGTGTTGAATGAATAAGTTAATCTTTCCAATTGATTAATAAGATGACCCCTTAAGCTTGGCCCCAAGCAGCTCCCTGGTCCTCTCCATGCTGTAATCTGATGTCAAGGCTCTGGAGATACCTGATTTTTGTAGAGAGAAAAGCCAGGTACTTGCAAAGCCCAGTGAGAGTTAATGAAAAGTTTAAAACAATAAATAGTTTCAAATAAGTTCTGTGTTACTCCAACATGGGTTAGAGAGTAGGTGTTCTGTATCTGAAGAACTAAATGCTGTTGAGTTAATTTGGACTAGAAAGTAGGAAGAGAAATTAAGAGAGCCTTACCCTCTGTGACTGGGAGTACATGTGTGTCAGATCATCTGGGAGGAAGGCATGGGAGAAGGTGTGGAAAGATAAAGTAAGAAATAAAAAGCCAGCAGGGGCAAAAGGGTAATTTTTTCCTCTTGATCCATATTTGGCTCAAACCTTGATTTTGGCAGTACAGCAAGAGGTCATCTGGTGTCCAGTCTGCCACACCCTGATTTACTATGTCAAAAAGAAAGGAGAGATCTGGTCATCAGCCAAGAAGCTGTTGTCAGTGGGGTGAAAAACACAATGTGTGTGGATTTTCCTCATAAATAGGGTTAAAACATAATTTGAGAATGCTTTCCTTGAAAAAAAACTCTTGAATCAAATTCTTTTTAAGGGTCACATATAATCAGTGCCTAATCACTGTATTTCTTTGTGGGGCAACTAGATGGGCGGGGAGAGAGATGTAGGGGGCAGGACCAGGCCTCCATCAGGCACTCTGTCTATACTGTCTCACTGACCCATTAAAATGGTGGCACTCACTCCAACGCCTAGGTTGCAAGGAGGTTGTGAGGGTCACCAAAATAGTGAACAGAAAGTGCTTTGTAAGCTGGGAAGTGCTTCAGTGAGGTCATGACATCTGCCATTTCTAGAAGCATGCTGGTAGTAATTTGATGGCACAGGAGGCATTGCCCTGAAGGCAAGAGGGGAGAAGAAGAAAGAGACAAAGAAGCGTTTTAGAATGATGGACTCACATTTCACATTTTAGTGTGGGCCAGAGACCTGGGTAAAGAGAATGTAGGAGACAATCCTGGAACTTTTGTTCCTCCCTCACATTTGCCATTCTTTGTTAGTATCCCTATGAAGATCATCATTAAAGACATCAGCATGAAAGCATGGTCCCTGTGTCTATTTTAGAGGCAGCAAGTGAAGGGGTGGGCATATGGAGGAAGTGGGGTAGTGAGAACTGTTTTGCACTCGGTAGGTAGTCTGGAATTGTGAAGAGAGGGAAATGGATAGAATTTAGGAATCCTGTGAGGAGAAAAGGAGATTTAAGATTTAATGGACAGATGGATGGGGTGTATTCCCATTTGGGCTGTGAGAATACTTCTGAGGGCAGGCAGGAACAAAATATTGCTAAAAGGAGACCCATGACAGTCACCAAGATAGATAGGGTTCCACTACAGCAGATGACGATTTGCTTTCTAAGAAAACATTTCCTTCTTTTTTTTTTTTTTTAAAGATCTTATTTATTTATTAGAGAGGGAGATCACAAGCAGTGGGGAGGGGTAGTGGGAGAAGCAGACTCCCTGCCGAGCAGGGAGCCCGATGCGGGGCTCGATCTCAGGACCCTGGGATCATGACCTGAGCCAAAGGCACATGTTTAACCAACTGAGCCACCCAGGCACCCCAAAAACATTTCCTTCTAAAAGAAAAAAAAAATCCCTCCTCCACCCCATCACACATGCTCACCCACCTGTTTATTTTCTTAAAGAGTCTTTCTTCAAGGGCATATACGGGAAGGTGTGGTCTGGCATTAAGTAACCATTACAAACTCCAAAAGTAGTCCTAGGTACAGCAAATCGGAATTTAACACTGCCAAGGGGCAGGGCACTTGCTCAGGCCTCTGAGGGACACAAATGGGAATAGGTTTGAGCCCTCAAAATGCTTACACCTTAGCAAACACGTGTGTGGTTTCGAACCTTCAAAACAAGAAGGAAAGGCAGGGCTTACTTTTTTAGCTGCACAGGATTCGTCTTCTGCCACCATTGTCTTTGTGACAGGACAGCACTGTTTCCAAGCCAGAAGCATTCAAGGAGTGGCGGGAAGGGCATGGTCATTTAGGGCCTGGAATATTTCCATCGGAGAGCTCAGGTGAAGGTCTCGGCCCCTGGAGCCTGCATCACCAGGAGGGAGCCCAGCAGGAAGAAAACGCTTTGGCTGTGCTGAGCAGAACTCATTAGTGGTGGGGTCAATCCTGAGGTTAATGTATATTTGTTAGGCTTTTTTAGTTTCCTGGTGTCATGTTTCCATGCCTAAGACCAGAGTTGCTCTGTAGACTTTGGCGTGGATTTAGCGGCCCTCTCATTGAAACGGGAGGCCAGTCTATGTATGCAAGAAAACTTCCGAGGTCTGCCCTTAAAAGGACTACACGTGATCGTTCAGATCAGACAATCAGGCCTCGAGAAGGTACAGAAAGAATGAAGGGTCCATGCTAGTGTGCTTCCAATGTTTCACAGGAGACTCCCCAGGAGAAAGAGTCCGATTGGAGGGTTCGCTGATTTCAGTGGTGTAAATAGTCCCCCTCCGGCCAAGTTCAAGCTACCAGCATGATGGTCCCTGAGCGTGGAGTGTGGAAGAGTCATCAAAGACCAGCACACCACCGGTCAGCCGTCAGAGCAGACACAGAGGGACTCACTCAGCAGGAAGAATTGGAACGCAGGGACCAGACGAGGCTGTTAGGTAGGTGTGGGTGTGGGCAGTGCCAGCAGCATATGAGGACAGGCAGGAGGTGACAGGCCAGGTGGCAGTCAGCACCGAGCCAGCTATGATAGGTAGTCTTCCGAAAGAAAAACAGCTACTGTTCACTGAGCAAGACTGTGTGATCAGGCCTGTGCATGGTCACAAACTGTCTCCCAGCATCTCTGCCTGGGTATTTTTATTTCTATTTTGCAGATGGGGAGATTGAGGCCCAGAGAGATCACACGGCTGGTCAGGTAAGACATGGTGGAGGGAGAATTCAGATCTGGAGTCTGTTTCCACTACACCATCAAGCCAGGGAAAGGCTGGGAGCAAGTCCTGTTCCCAAATGTCTCGGACAGGATGTGTGGCTGCTGGTGGCCAATGGTAATTCCTGGGAGTCTTGACAGCTCTGTGGGAATGAGGACACCAGTGGATTATGGAATCCGGGATTCAGTATCGGGGATAAGAAGAGTCACGGGACCTAGGACGTGAGGTCAGAAAGGACAGACTTGAGGCTGGGTCACAGTAATGGCCCTCAACCTGGAACAGAGCTGAACACCAGTAAGTTGACAGTTCTCAGAACATCAACTGGGCAGGTTGTCAATCAGTCAATCCTGGTTGTGGCACTTGGGTCCCCGAGAAAGGGCCCTACATGGGATGACTATGGACATCTGTGTTTTATATCAATATGATGTCTACAATACTTCAAAACTGTATTACAGACTATGGAACCTCATTTGAAAATGCAAATGTGCATTTAATTAATATATTACTTGTGACCCTACATGACTCACAGGCAGAGTAGAGGCTGTTGTGAGCTGTGAACTGTGGAAGGCATGAAGGCTGGTTGAGGGGAGCCGTGTGACCACTGTGGGCATGGAGGTCCAGGTGAGTGAGCTGTTGTGGGAGGGATACAGCAAAGTGTCCAGATGTTGGTGAGATAAGGGATAAGATCCAGAAGGAGAGAGGGAAGAAATTGTGTTAAAGAAAACCAGAACTGTGTTAAAGAAAACCGGAGGAAAACCACCTTCCATTTGGAGGATCAAGAAGGTCCAGTTCTGGAAGAACCTAAAGGGCCTCCAGGGACTTAAGTTGGGGCTAGCCTGAAAGGGAAGCCTGACTGGTGATAGGTGACTGAGGAATCAGACTTAACTTCACCAGTATTTCTTATCTGCAGATAGTTTAGGTTCTGATGCTCCTTTCCCGAGTAGGAGAGTTTACTTGTATCTCTTAGCCCTAGGATTTTTGTGTTAAACTGCAGTGGCACGAGGTAGGAA